TGTGTATTTTGGTGTATGTGTATGTGTGTGTGTGTGTGTGTGTGTGTATATATATATATATATATATATAAGTCTGGCGAGTAAACAAAAAAATTTACTAGCCAATGGCGATTCAATTGCCAAGGTGTTCGTAGGGGGCTGTATATAGTTTACATACGGTAAAATCAAATCAAAAAGCGAAGACTTCTGTGGCTACATAACACGTGTGTGAATCATTTACGTAGGTTATTTTGACATTTTTGATTTCTTGTTGACTTTGTTCTCCCTTTGCATTTTCTTGTTTCTCAACTTTTGTTGTATAATTTTATTATTCTTAATATAAAGACACCAGACCGCACTAATGCTGTTGAAAAGCTACATACATCTTAAAAGAATCATGATGAATAATTAATTCTGTACCGACAAAAACACGTTGAATGTGTAAGAAAAACTAAGCTGTAATGACACGGGTCAGAATGATACAAAGACCGGCAGAAGTTAAACGCATTTAAACACATCCTATACAGCAGCTCATAAACACGTGTTCCACACGCGCCGATAGACACGTTACAGCACTACTACTCCCGCGCACGCGAGGGGTTATAATAAACATGTAAAAGGGCTCTTACCACTTTAGCCTGCTTTAAGAACTCTTTCGCGGCTTTGGCGAACTTATTTCCCACGAGAAACGAGTACACATGCTGGTAGAGATCGCTGGGAACCGTGCCGCCCTGCGCCATCTTCGTTCGCTCGTGTGGAGGAGGAGCGCGATTGGCTATTTCACCGTCACGTGGCGTCGCTGGAAATGGCGCGCAGTAAATGCGTCACACTACTTACACGAGCGCATTACGCAGTTATAAATATGAATATTGTTTATTTGCGGTCTGTTTGGTAAGTACAGAGATTAATGTTATTGAACCCACTATATATATTATGCTGTCATTTATCTTAATTTGCTTCTAATGCAACAAATAGTTGAAAAGAAAGGAAAAAATGAAATCGCATCATATGACCCCTTTAAAAAATATATGGAGCAGTTTACTGAAACTTCAGATTTTTAAATACGATTTCATGTTTTTTTTAATGTTTTGTGTCATGTATTGTACATCAGGCTTTTATGGCCTTTATAGTGCAATAAGGAGCACACACTCAAGAAGGAAAAATCACCTCAATTTTATTTGGAGGCCCAAACTGAACAAAAATATGCAATTTGGTGCAGAAGTTATTATTTATATGTGGGTCAATATCACTGTAGGGTGCCTTTTGGTGTCTTGTACATAAATAACTAATTTGCCATGATAACTTAACATAAAAATGACTATGAAAGGGTGTGTTATATTAGGCTAAGTTTTTATATTCATAACAAAAGCATTACTTTGCACTTTAGATAATTTTTTTTGTTTTTAGTTTTGTGTAAGAGGATGCGTGTTATTTTGCTATGTCCCATGCACTGCTCATTAAATTTGAATGATAGTAGAATATTGTCAAATCATAAAATTTAAACATTTTGTTCTCCTATTAATATTTTGTTAAATAAGAGATTACTCAATTTGAGTGTACTGATCATTTGGTAATGAAAATCGATATTTTTATTTAATAAAAAATAAGAGTTTGTCCATGTCCCTTGAATGGTTGTCCACCTGTCATATTGGGGAATCCGCCCCTTTCAGAAAAGGCATTCCCTTTAGTGACATCAGGACAACAGATTTTTTGTCTCTTCAGTGGCGAGAATTTCAACGGATGAGGCGAGTAAGTTTGTGACTTTTCAATTGACAAATTTTCTTCATATGAGTTGACTTACTTGCTCTGCCAAAGCTTAACATGTCCAGTGTCCACCCTGTCGCCATAAAATATGCCAGAAGTGATTTGAATACAGTATTTTCAAAATATGTAAGTTTAAATATATCAAATTCTCTTCAACAACCTAACCGACTAAATATTTAACTAGTCACAGTTTGTTGTAAGCTAATATGCTAATTGAAGCTTAAAATGTCCACCCTGTTGATAATATGTCTTAGTAAGATAATATGTAAATGCTTATTTTTATGAATAAAGCTATGTGGTTTTAATGGTGGTGGGCAAATTATATTACACAATGTAATACAATGATAATTAATAGCCTAAATATACCTCAAAACCCTGATATTTGATATTAACATTTCAACATAATTTGATAAGAGGCCTTAGAAATGCATGTATCAAATATGATATAGTAGGCTTCATAGGGATGCCTATATATATATATGTGAATTTTTTTTACTAGTGGGTGCAGGACACTATAGTTCATTTATGTACGTTAAGTGAGGATAGCAAAATAAAGTAAACTGTGATATATTATACCCAAAAATTCTTCATACAGTGGACTACCAGTAAAACTGATCAAAAATTTGGGTCCAAAAATTATTCAGACACTTTGACCTGACCATGTTTTGCGCAAGTGTTTTTTTTTATTGATAATGCGACCGTTTTAGGGATGGGCGTATCGATCCGAAGTATCGT